GATCCATCGATGGACATACTGTCTAGTACCTTGTGGACCTCAAGCGCGCGTACGATTTTATGCTCGAAGTCAAGCACGAATCGCTCATGTCAAAAGACCTGCGAGGTCCGCGTTGCTTTTGAAAGAAAACTACTTAAAGTGCTGTGTAGTCCCAAGCAGGCACCATTGAAAAGCTCCAGGACTCGGTCGAGCGCCTCAAGATGGCGCTTGATACGGAGCGCACGAGCATGGCCAAGCTCGAACGCATGTCACGCATCACGACCAACGACCTCACGCAGCTGCAAGACAAGATGAGGTCATACGAGCGCGAGGTACAATGAGGACCTCGTCGATTGAGTTGTTGCGACACTGCTGCTGCTAGTCGAGCGACATTGAGTTGGAGCGCAATCGGCTTTTGGAAGAAAAACGCAAAATTGCCTTCATCATGATGGAAAAATCCAAGACCTTGGACCGCGAAATCGATCTCAACCAGCAGGTGCACCGACGCGCTTACGAACGTGGAGTACCAATATCTTTATAGATGGCCAAGAAGCTCCAGGAAAAGGATTCGGACATGAGCCGCCTCCACGACACGGTGTCGACCCTCGCAGCGGCGGTATAACGACGGCGACACCATGCCGACGACGCCTGACGCTCGCAATTGCGTCGTAGGTCAAGAGGTTTGAAGACGCGATTCAATTTCGTAAAGACACCAACCGCGACGTGGGCATTCTCGTACTCCCGACGCTCGACGATACAAGCATGCAGACCGATCCGTGGAAACCGCAGGTCTACAACCATGAAAACATGATATTTTGAACCTGGCGCGGGGTAGGGTCTCATTCTTCGCCAGCGCAACAGTTCCAACCAGGTGCCGCAGCGCTACGAAGGCCCGGTCAAGATCATGGTCGCGTGTCCGAGCTTGGACGTGCTTCTCGGCGAAAAGACGCTGGACCGTCCGGTGACATCGGCCTCGATGACGGCACTGCCATCGGCCGTCGACAACAATAATCATACCTCTGGGCGGCGGGTGCAAACTGCCGACGCAGTGCTTCTCGGCGCCTCCCACCGAAAGCCGCCGCGAAAGATGCACGTCGGGCGCATCAACCTACCACGCGTGAACCTCCCACGACATCCGTCGAGTACCAGCCTCGACCCGCTCGTCGATAATTTTGTCAATTGAGCCGCTTGAAATGGTTTAAAATGGCAGAGGAACGATGTGAAATGAGAAATGCCTCCGTCAGCAGTCAGGAGTGCGGCATGGTCACGATCGCAAGCACTGGTTCACTCTCAAAATCTGCATCGGCTTGTACCGGATGGCGTCGGTCAGATGTGGATGCAGGACCAGGCAGCTTATTTGATGTGTGAGGAATTGCGTGGGGACGTAATGCCACATTTGCAACGTTGATCCAAGGTAGATGCAAGACATCGATGTTGCGCAGTGGACGGATGACGACAATGTTCCGGGAGGTCCGAGGATGACGTGACCGTCTTTGTCTCAAAGGAGCTGCTGGTCTAATGCAATATGAAGCTTCCAGCGTTATAGCCCAAAGCAACCCACACCCAACAGACAAATGCCGTAGTATCCAAGCTAGACCCGTCTTTTGACTCTCAGTCAAGTCAGATGGAAGAGCACGCAGATGGCGTGACCACTAAGTGCGGCCCTCCAAGGCAAAGGTTCCGATCGCGTCACTTCGAAGGTTTCTCGGCTAGGCGCCATGGAGACGACAAGCGTGGACAGGACGTCTCTTCCGCTCGAGTGCTTGCGCTGCTACCGCCGCTCGACGATCGACCTCATTGCGCCCTGCAACTGTGCCTCGTACGTCCACCGCGACTGCTTGGACGCGCGTCGCGTCCTCAACGGGTCGGCGGTGACGCACTGCAAGGCCTGCGGCGAGGCGTACGACTTGTACGAGGTGCCGAGTGAAGCGGCCGAGTACAAGCGGCGCTTGCGCATGGCGCAGCTGCTCCGCGTGCTCTTCGTGCTCCTTGTGGTGATGATCGGGTGCGGCATGATCTACGCTGTCGAGGAGAGCACGGCCAGAAAGTACCGCAATTCGTGGACCGACGAGGATCGGGCGCTCAACGAATGGCTCGCGTCGATCGGTTGCCCGCGCTTCCTCGCTCACTTTGTCATCAGCCTTTTCTTCACGGCGATCGCAGTGGGCATCTTCATCGGCTGCCAACGGATCGCGCCGACGATGGCGCGTTGCATCAACGCGTGCGAGACCCGGTTCGGTCGCTACAGTACCACGATCCTCGCCGTGTTTTTTGCGGTCCTCTTCATTGGCATGATGCGCCTCGTCGGCCTCTACATGGTGCTCTTGGCGCTTGCCGGCGTGCTTGGCGCAGCAGCCGGCGTTGGTGCCACCCTCCGCTTCCACAAGATTCACGTCCAGTACCGTCACGTCCAAGACCGACGACTGCATGTCGACGGCACCGGTGTTAACATTAGTCCAGCCTAGAGTCAGTCACCGAAAGGACATGCAAGGAACTCGAGATGTGGCGAAGACGTCTTCTACCTTCAAGACCTTCCAGTGGACCGTACGTACGTACATGGACTGCGTACGCCGATGCTAAAGCAGCGAGGACTATCAACAAATGCATCGGGCGTCTTCCTTGCTAACTTGATTGCTGCGGTGCTTTGGTGCATGAAGAAAACTCGCAGGTGGCACGGTACCGTGGTCTCGACCGCATCGTGTGGGCACGTGGCGGAAATGGCTTGCGCGACTGGACTACCCAGGCCATAAGTATGTACTACGTATTAAACCGGGGGTGCAGGTTGGTGACGTTGCGATGTCTTGACTCGGCGACAGCAAGGCCGGGCCAGGGACGCTGAGCTCTTAGACTAGAGCGGTGCTAACGAGAGTCGTCTGCGTTTGAAGCACCCGTGTCCGCGCTGGAGTGAACGGAGGGCTCCTTACTTGCAGCTCATGCTTGCAGCTTATGCCAAAATCCCAGCGACATCATGCGACGAACCATCCGATGTGACAACTCAAATTTCATGAATTCGACGTGACGTTGGTGTCCAGAAAGTGAATATCTTTGGTGTGAAACTTGTCGCACACGTGCACATCTAAAACGTAGCATAATACAATCGAGTCAATGTATTTCGCACGAGTGTGCTTCACTGTGTGAATTAAAGTTTCACACGCTGGGATTGCAGTTCGTTTGAAAAATCATTTTCGAACATCTCATCGTCGAGCCGGATGGAGCTGCCAGCCAAGACCACCGACGCCACGGACGCTGTCGTCGTGACCGTCGCTGCGTCGGCGCCCGCCAGCGACGAGGCCATCCCGGTGTTGCCGTCGAGTCCATTCTGCTGCTTCTACTGCCTCGACGACGGCAACGGACCGGAGCGGTCGGCGACCGAGCTCATTGCGCCGTGCGCGTGCGCCACGTACATCCACCGCGACTGCTTGGATACGCTTCGCATCTCGTCCCGGATGCCAACGCCATGACGCACTGCGGTACCTGCGGCGAAGCATACGCTCCTCCGAGTCGGGCGAAGAGGCCGAGTACAAGCGCTTGATGCGCAACGCGCAGCTGCTTCGCTTCCTCTTCGTGCTTGGCGTTGTCTCCTCGGTAGCTGCA